AGACGCAGGAAGGATTTTAGTAGGCAGAAATTAAAAAGTACACAAAGAAACAGTGGGCAGGCCCTCAAGGGAGAGACAGTATTTCCTGGAACAGGGAACATTTATGCTTCTCTCGAGAGGGTGGAAACACCCCAGAAAGGTACTGGGCCATATTATCGGCATGAGCCCACTTGTTTGTTTGTTTTTTCAGATGAATAATTTAAGCATTTTTTGAATTTTCTCTACCCATTCCTTAGGACCAGGTTCCTGCTCTTTACTTTCTCAAGTCAATTTATGGACTTCTGGTATTCCTGAAGAATTTTGAGTGTGATAGGTCCAGAAAGAAAAGAGCCTAACTTTAACCAAGAGAATGCTGAGATGGGTCACTTCGGTGACTTTGACTTGGTCGTAGAAGTCGGAGTCTTCTTAAAAGTACAATTTTTTTTTAGTACCAGGGATTGAACTCAGGTCCTTGCACTTGCCAGGCAGGTAGTGGAACCACTGAGCTAAATCCCCGGCCCAAAAGTACAATTTTTTAAGTTATATTTTCCTTGTCTCCTTTCTACCTTTTATTTCTTCTGTCCTACCTCAGTGTCACACAGCAGCCAGGTGATGATTGCCCTCAATTCCTGGAGACAGGTTCGAGTCATACTGCCGGGTGGGGGCATTCCTGGTACCATCGTAGAACTGTCCTACAGACCAGGTGTTAGGGTGGCCAGAGGCTCAGTGATTTGGGGCGTGGCTGGTGAGGACTCCAGGAATGGAGATGGTGTTTCTACTTTGGAAGGGAATTGTGTGGTGCCTACTGAGGCTTGGGGTGAGCTGGTAATGGGTGACACAGGGGTCCTTAGCTGGTGAGGTCAAGATGCTGTGGCTGAGCCAGATCCAAGAGTGGCTGCCTGGTAGGGGGCTTTGTGGGTGCCAGCGCTGTACCAGGTGCACTTGTATTAGGGAGGAGCAGTACCTGTTGAATGGAAAGATGATTTTTTTCCTTTGGCGGAGGAGGAACAGTAGTATGTGTGTGTACTAGCTTTATATCTAAGATATACCAGGTTATATTTCTATATGAATAGTATATTTAATTTTTGTTGGTTTTTTTTTTTTTTTTTGGTACCGGGGATCGAACTCGGGTCCTTGCACTTTCGAGGCAGGCAGCAGAACCACTGAGCTAAATCTCCAGCCCTAGTATATTTAATTTTTAAGCTTGGGATATGAATATATTTAATCACTTCATACTCCATATTAGATGATTTAAATATTTTTAAACAGAATTTTCCAAACACTATCACAATAGATCAGCTTCAACAGTATTAGGCCTAATGTTATAAATAATATTGTAATTCTGAAGATATATCTTGTGAAGCAGAGGAGAAAAAGAATCTCACAGTGGTTTGAAACTTTTTATACCTATGTGATAATTTTTCACCAGATCAAACATGCCAAAACACCCCGTTATTTGTCATTTTTAACAACCACTGAGCCCTAGATGGACATCCCTGAGATTTCTTTAAGAACCATTTATTTGGGTTGGGGATTTAGCTTAGTGGTACAGCAGGAGCCAAAATGCCACCCTGGGTTCCATTCCCAGCACTACAAACAAAACAAAGCAAAAGAAACCATTCACTCAAAATAATAGCAAGGTACTCTAATGTAAGTGCATTCCCAATATGGTATTAATTGAAGTTTTATTTGATTCAAGATGAGCCTAGAATTTGAGGAGTCATCAGTGATAGAGGCAAGGGTGGCTTGGAGGGGATTTGGCCCCACCTCTAATCCACTGCCCCTGCCTGACCAGGATAAGGAGCCTCAGTAAACTGAATAAAGACACTTTCATATAGCTATGGTTTTTTGGGTTTTGTTTTTTTTTATATATACCGGAGATTGAACTCAGAACCTTGCGCTTGGGAGGCAGGCACCAGAATCACTGAGCTAAATCCCCGGCCATAAAGCTGTTTTAATGAACCCAGGGAAGAAGCCACACACAGTGTTATACCTCCCCACCCCTCCACAAGCCGAGGGGTGAATTATGTGGTCTCTCTTTAATTCTTCGTCCCAACGAAAGCTTTGGCTTTTCAACAAAGGGAAATGGGAATTATCAACCCCACTGCCCAGAAGTAGCAACTTTGATGATAACTTAGTCTACTCTGAGGGGCAGCACAGAGGATGAAGGTGTGGCTGGACAGCAGGCGGTGAGGCCGAGGCCCGATTCTCAGCCTCCCTCTGCTTTGGTTCTCTTCCGAGATCAGGGATTGTAGTCAGAGGTGCTTCCATCACTGATTGTAGTCAGAGGTGAGGAATAAATGAGTTGATGCTAGTAAAGTGCTCAGGTGCATAGTAAATGTTTATTGAATACATAAAAATGTCCAGACTTGTCTCTGAAAACATAGAAGCATTTACACATCTATATTTTATTTTGTTTTTACAAAGACAGGTTCTTATTCCACATAGCCATTTCTAACTTGCTCTTTTCACTGCACATTGCAGCTTGGGCCTCTTAAGCCATTTGTATATCTAGATCGATCTCATTTTTATGTGACAGGTAATGCTGTGTTACATGGATGCACAGCACATGTTTTACAAGTCCCATGGTGTTAGCCGTGTAGTTGGCTTCCAGTTGTGTTTGTTTGTTAAATAGATGGTGCTGCCACCTGTGACCTCCCCTCCTTTGTTCCTCCGAATGTATTCCTATAGGATGTATTCGTGGAAATGAAATCACTGCTGTAAACGATATGCACTGGGAGGATTGGGTGGGGCCCAATGAATGATGTGCCGACAACCCCTCAGTGCTCAAAAGCTTGAAAGGTATATCCAGAGCTTTCATGATGAAGTCCTCAGCCTGGGCAAAGCCCCCGTGATATGATCCCACATAGCTGTAACTGCCATTGTGCTTGTAATCTGTCTGCTTCAGTAAAGCTTGAGGTTTTTTGGTTTTTTTTATTTATTTATTTTTTTCTGGTATTGGGGATCAAACTCAGGACCTTGTGCTTGGGAGGCAGGCGTGGTGCCACTGAGCTAAATCCTCAGCTCAAGCCTGTGGTTTTTCATTTTCTTTTTTGTTGTTGTTGTTTTTTGGTATCAGGGCTCGAACTCAGGACCTTGCACTTGCAAGGTAGGCACAGTACCACTGAGCTAAATCCCTGGTCCCCAAGCCCATGGTTTTTAATCAGGGCAATTTTGCCTCCTTGGGGACACTGGAAAATGTGTAGAGATACTTTTGGGGTCACACTGGGAAGAACAGTATTACTGGCCCGAGAGGCTGCTCCTCATCCTCCGCTGCACAGGGCAGCCCTCAACAAAACGTCACCCACTAGAAACAGCAGCAGTGCCAGAGAAGCCTGCTGGGTGAAGCTGGATGCTGATCGGTAAGGTTGCCTGCCCCTTCCTTCCCTGCCTCTTGCCAAGGGTGACAGTGGGTTTTATCTGATGTGTCCCCTTCATTCTCTTCATATGAATAGCTAAAGAGCTGTCTTAGGATTCTAGAGCCTTGCTTGGGCTCACTGGAGAAAAATGCTGTGTCTACTGTCTACCAGATCATGAAATCACATGAAGGCAGGATGTTATTGTTTTCATAGGTGCCTCATGCAGAGCTTTTTATATGTATTTGGTGATCACCTATTTTAACATTGGCTGGGAGTGTAGCTCTGAGCTCAGTGGTAGAGCATGTTCTTAGTTAGCATGCATGCATGAGGCCCTCAGTTCAGTCCTCAGCGTCAAAGAGAAAAAAAAATTAGCGCCTGAATTTCAACTACCTAAATGAGTAGAGCTGGTGTGGTGGCACAGGCCTGTGATCCTAGCCCTCTGAGACAGAGGAAGGAGGATGGGGAGTTCAAGGCCAGCCAGGCCTATACAGCAAGGCTTTGTCTCAAAAAACAAACAAAAAAAGTGAGTAGAGGTTTTTTATAGGAGCCAGCTGCTTCTGACTTGGCTTCAAGCCAAACATTTATATTTTCTGGTATTTATTTCCTATCCTAAACAGCTTTGATATCCTCATAGGAGTGATAGTTTGATGTTTATACTGTCTTTTGAATTATTTTTGAATGAATTATACAGGTTTTCCATTTTAGAAGACTGAATAATCAAAAAGGCAAGAAAATAGTCATCAGTTGCATAGTACCCTATTAATCAGCAAATTATTTGTCCTTTTTGCAGGGCTGGAGATTGAACCCAGGGCCGTGGGCATGCTAAGCTTGTGCTTGACCACTGAGCTGCACCCGCAGCCCCCCGCTTCCTTTTTGAGACAGGGTCTCAATGTACAGTCCAGACTGGCCCTGAACTCAGCCATCCTCCTGCCTCAGCCCCCCAAGTGCTGGAATTACAGGTGTCTGCCACTGTGCCTGGCTGTTTGGGTCTTCTTACAGATCTCGGTGAACCTTTTCTTCAGTTTGAGTGTAGAGGTAGCTAATTATTAGTTGGTCAGCTTTTTCTGTAAAACGGGCCAGAAAGTATTTTAGGGTTTACGGGCCACGTAGTCTTTGTCCTTGTTATCAGCTCTGCTCTCATAGCTGGAAAGCTGTCAGACGATACTTCAGTAAACGAGGAGTTCAAAGAAGGTTTTGTGTGTACAGGTCTTAAAATGGGCCCCAAATAGGGTCAGGGATTTAGTTCAGTGGTTTCACCGCCTGCTGCACAAGCGCAAGGACCTGAATTCAGTCCCTGGTACCAAAAAAAAAATGGGGCCCAAACATTTTATGTACAAAAACAGGCAGTGCAGTGGAGCCAGGCATGGTGGCATGGAAGATTACTTCAAATTCAAGGCCAGCCTGGCCTACATAGTGAGACCCTGTCTCAAAAAAAACCAAACCAAAACAAAACAAAAATAGGCCGTGTGTGTGTGTGTGTGTGTGTGTGTGTGTGTGTGTAGTTTGCTGTCCACTCTAAAGCTGTCAGTGTTTGCACGTTTGACTGATGAACCCATACATGTAACTGAGAGAGTTTGAAAATGAACCGACTGGGCTTGAAGGCCGCTTTGCAGCGACTTCACTGGGCAAACGAGTGACCAGTGCCTGTCCTCTCCCCCGCAGAGATGTGGTATGGCGTGTTCCTGTGGGCACTGGTGTCCTCTCTATTCTTTCACGTCCCCGCCGGGTTACTGGCCCTCTTCACCCTCAGACGTCACAAATATGGTAGGTTCATGTCTGTAAGCATCCTGTTGATGGGCATCGTGGGACCAATTACTGCTGGAATCTTGACAAGTATGTTAGACATTAAAACATTAAAACATCAGTCAAAAACATTGAATGTGACTACTCAGTTAATTTCAGGACTTGTTTTAGAAATACATAAATGGGATGAATAAAAAATGAGTGTCAGGGCCAGGGATTTAGCTCGGTGGTTCCAGCGCCTGCCTCGAAAGCGCCAGGTCCCAAGTTTGATCTCTGGTACCAAAAAATTAAAAAAAAAAAAAAAATGAGTGTCTTTTGACCACTGATCCTATTTTTAAATGTATTGGTCTTTTTTTACACAAAGTCCCTTTTATTTGATTAATCTCTTTGGCTTCCTGAGCCAGGTCTTATCAGGGAATCCACCTTAAGCTTTGTGAGACAAGTCACTGGAAAAGAAAAATATCTGCCTTTTTGGAAGGAAGCTAGTGCTCCTTTCTGATCCGCTATGACTTAACTGTGGCTTTGCAAAATAGTTCTCTCTGAGGCATGGTTACTTTAAGAATGAAATAATAATTCTAATGACAAGAATTCTTAGCCAGGCAAGTATTGGTGGCCCATCTTTGTAATCCCAGCACTCTGGGAGGCTGAGGCAGGAAGATCACAAGTTTAAGTCCAGTCTGGGCAACTAAGCAACTTAGCAAGACTCTGTCTCAAAATAATAAAGAAAGGGCTGAGGATGTACCTTACTGCAACAGCCCTGGGTGCAAGCCCCAGTAGTTCCCCCCTAAAATAAAATAAATGTGTTTAGAAAAGTATCTGATTTGAGGGCTGGGGATACACTTGCCTAGCATGTGGAAGGCCTTGGTTTCAATTCCTAGAAAAAAAAAAATACCTGAATTGAGTTCAGGTAGTTGCCACCCCCACCCCCACAGCCTCAGGACTTTCTTGTTTTTTGTTTTTTATTTGAGATAGGGTCTCACTGTGTGGTCCAGGATGGCCTTGAACTTGAATTTGCCATCCTGTCTCAGCTTTCCCAGTGGCCACCATGCCTGCCTGCCTGGAGACTTTCTGATTAAGAATTGGAATAGATAATGTGAAATAGGAAGAAGAGGGGCAAAGGGAAAGGGGAAGTGGGAGGGGTAGGGGAAAGGAAAGAAGGGAATGGGATTAATATGAGAAAATGGAAAAATAGGAACAAAATCTTTGTAAATAGGG